TTCTAAATCAAGATACTAAATTCTGTTAAGTCTATCTCTCAAATGTATCTATCTACTGTACCCTCCTCCCCATATCTATTGTCAATTTTTCCAGCCTAAACTTTTATAGTTTCCTCTATGGTGTCTCTGCTTCAAGTCCCATCCATCAATGAATCTTTCACATTCAACTAAAATATACATCAGATCAGTCTCTCATTTTTCAAGGCAGTAAGAGCTAAAAAGTACAAACAAACACAGCAAAAAGAAAAAGTAGCACTTTTGAATGTTACTGGGAGTGACCTGATGTCACATCCTAACTTCTTTACTTGCTAGCTAAAAGGATTTGGACATGATATTTAAGTATGCGTCAGGAAATAAGCATAATAATAGCAATTACCAATTACTGAACAAACACTATATACATAGTAATCCTAGGAATAGACACTTTCCTGGTGGTTAGGTGAGAAATGAATGCTACATTGCCTGAGGCCACACAGGAAAGGGTGGCATAAGTGTTCAGCCACTCTTGCACATGGCTTCTCAGTCGGGGCATATGCCCTGCCTTACAGGATGGTGAACATTAAGTGAGGGGTACAGTCCACAGCACAGAAGCAGAATTTCCTTACTGACTTACACTTAGAGAGACTTAGGGTCCAGGCTCTTTATTCTTTATTCCAGTCCACACTCTTGCTCTTGTCTAGACTCCTGCCCCATCTGAGATGACTTGTCATCTCTGACTACAAAATCTGCCCATGTTTCACTAATGTACAAGTTATTCCTGCAATCTAATGCACATTTTAAATGGTGGTTCAAGTTCTACTTTCTCTGTGAAATCTTTTAAAGTCACCATTAGTTATTCCATTCTCCAGACTCCTCTAACTGAATGTTCAAATCTACTACAGCTGTTGCTTAATTCTGTTTTATTTTTCACCATTTGTGGATAAATATGCCTGCTCTGTTAGAAGTTCTTATTGACCCAGAATTATGCTATTAATTTTCTGAGTAACAATTGATGGGATGATCAATTAATCAGGCTTGCTGAGGACTTCTCTGGGTTTAGCACTGAAAGACCTGTATCTCAAGGAGAAACCCCTAATGGGCAAACCAAGGTGCTCCTCCAGAGCACAGCACAGTGAAAAGCTGGTACAAGGTTTATAGTACATTATTGGAATAGTCAATAACTTTGATTAGCCTTTATGAAAATGAAGTTATAAAGACTTCTCCCGTGCATGGCCCTTCACTCACGATTCTTGTGATATTGCCATGTAAATACCAAAGACTGTACTTCCTTTGCCATTCAACATTCAAAAAACTTATGTATCCCCGGAGGTGGGTTATTTTGAATATTGAAAGATAACTTTTAACAGATGGCTAATCTCAAAAGAGATGAGAAGTTAAAATCTGCTGTAAAGTGTTGAGTAGGAGGGGAGAAAAATAAAACAACCCAGGCCTGTATTAAATAGTCTCTTCATTAAAATGCTATTGGATTCACTCTTTTGTTTCACACAATTGTGTATAATTATAGTATACAAAACCTCTAGATCATCCTGCTATTAAGCATTTAAAAATATCCATTCCAGATTTTCAAAATAAGTTTCACATATACAGTAATTATATCACACAAATGTGCAATGCTTAGATTATACTTATTATGCCAACTTAAATTTAGACCATTTCTATTAGGGTTGTCTTAATCATTTCCATAATGATGCCCTGGGCATTTCCCACTAGGACAGGAAGTAATTTCTATTTGATGGAAGTTCATGGGTGCTGAATAGACACCTGACTCTGCAAAATGTCCTAGAAGAAATATAAGAAAATTCGTTTCAGAGCTGTGGGGCACCTCTCTTGCATGTATACACTTTCTGCTACACTAACACATCTCTAGGCTCTGCAGAGAGCAGCTGCTGTGGCTGGCAAGTCACACAACATAGCGCGACTAACCGTGGATTGAGATTCAGAAGACTTACGTTCTGCTGCATCTGAACCAACCGGTCTCTGACAAGGAGATATCTATGTAGGTAACTATGGAAAGAAACTCAGGAGAGTAATTGTGAAATGACTTACAAGTCATGAAATTGAGGCACTGTGATGAGACATTTTGAATCAGAGGTGAACATCAGAACAACCTGGGTGCCTTTCAAAATATTAATGGACCCCTAAGGCTAACTAGGTCAGAGTGTCCAGAGTGGGGATCAGGACCTCAAACATATTATGGACCTTGAATCAAATCCCTTCCAAATCTCTTAGTAATACTGTAACTTTTTAAAAGCCATTAACTCATGACCCTCAGTTTTTCTAATTTAAAAAATGGAGATATGAAAACCTTCTTTGCAGGGTTCTTGTGTAGAGATCTAGGTCAGAGCAGATATCTTCAGGTCTCTGGGCCATCTTGTTTTTCAGATCAGAATCTTTAATATCTCCAAAATTACCCTTGCCAGATGTTGTAGGAGGCATTGCTGCTTGCAGAGCCTCTTCAGGCAGCCACTGAAGATCAGATCTGAACTTGGATCTGACTCAGTCCAAAGCTCAAGACCTTTCTACTTCACCCAACCATTATGGGGAGGAAAGAATCCTGTGAGCAAACCTGACCTCTTCTTTAGTCTCCTTTATAAATTTTGGGGTTCTGCTTCACGTTTTTACTTTTAAGGAAGGGTCTTACAGATATCAACAAGCATACACACACTTTGATGTGAGAAAGCCCAACTCCTGTGGCCTGCCACTGGGGACTGCCCATAATCTGGCTCAAGTTTATTTCTCTAGCTTCTCCTCCCTGGTTTTCCTCTTCCCGTTTTGCACAACCCACTCCAGCCAAAATTAGCCTATTATTCATATGCATGCAGTGTCCTTCCCATCTATATGGTTCATCCCAGATGTTCAGTCTTCTCCCACATCTCCCAATTCTACTTATTACCAAGCTCAGGAACAATGCCATCCTTTCTGGGAAGACTTCCCAGAATCCTTCTCAAAGAAAGGACTTGGGCTTTGGGCTGAGTCAGACCCAAGTTCATATCTAATCTTCATTCCTGACTAGCTACATATTTGTGGATTCTTAAAAAATGTCAGCATCTGTGTCTTATCTACAAATAAAATGCAAACCTACAGAGCAGAAAGGAGGGATTGCACAAACAAGAAACATAGGCAATAACTGCATGTATCAGGTGGATCAGTGATTATTTCCTGTCTTGAACTATGGTCATTTCCTCTACTTGCTTATTTATGGAAATGGTAGAGGAACAACTGGATAGCTATTGGGGAAAACAATTTGAGCTGGATCTCTAGTCTCACTCCTTACATGAAAATAAATTCTACATGAACCAAAGTTTAAAATATAAAAAATGAAACATCAACAGCAACAAATGAATGGGAGAAAACACAGGTGAATTTAGTTATGAATTTGGAGTGGAGGAGGCCTTTCTAAGCAGGCTACAATAATTGTAAATTAACAAAAGAAAAGACTGATGATTATAGCTAATTAAAAACTTTTAGTGTCTCTACATTAAAAAAAACCTCTAAAAATTAAATTATATCACACTGAGAAAAAATTCTGCATCATGTATTATAAAGGGCTAACTTTCTTCATTTACCAACAGCCCTTACATATCAACAAAAAAAATGCTGAATACTCCAAATAAACCAGAGAAAATATTTGGTTAGGTAGCAAATATATATGACTAATAAATGATGTTCAAGTTTGCTAATAAAGAAATATAAATTAAAGCAAAGATACAATTTGGAACCAACTGGATGTGTAAAACATAAAAAGATAATATTCAATACTAGTAACAGTATAAGGACATAGGCGTTCTCATGCACCATTTTGGGAATACACATGGTGCTGCTTTTGCTGGGTACATCTTAGCAAAATTTACCAAAAAAAAGGGGATATTCCTTTTATTTACTACTTCCACTGCTAGAAATTTATCATAGAAATAAATTCAAGATTTACATGGTAATAAACTACTTGGAAAACTGTAATAGGAAAAAAATTTAGTTATCTCTTTAATAGATATTGTGTAAATTGAGTCATGATAGATACCATAGAATTCTACAGTTATTAAAAACAAAAGATGTTGATAAGGATATTTCTAAGGAGTATCAAGAAGGAAAAAAATGCAGAAGAATATGATTCTACTTGTATAAATCTGAAATATGCAAGTGGGTTGAGTGTATAGTAATATACATTCACAAATGTACATTTTATTCTAGAAAAATATATAAGAAAAATAAAGAGAAGTGGTTGTGGCTGGAGAGAAGAGTACGCAATAAGGGGACACTTGGAATAGAGGAATATTTTTATTTTATGACTTTCGGAACCTAGTCTAGTGCCTGAATCTAGTATTCATAACTTCCTATGTATTATATCTCAATTGTATATATATAACAAACAGCTCATTTGTTGTGGACATTTATTCCCAGTTTGTCATCTAAGACAACTGGAATGGTTTAAAGTTTTGAGCACTGAATATAATTTATTCTGGATTAATATAAGTACAGTTTACTATTGTGTGGAAGTTCAAACATTTTTTGGAATGAAAGGCCTTCACGTTGAAAGACTGAATCACTGGGACAGAGAGGGATAAAAATAAAGCACACGTAATTATGAAGGGCTATTTCCCCTACTGCAAGGGGAATCAGGAAAGGGTATAGATGTGGCCTTAAGAACAATTTGTGATATTTCAACCCCACCATGATAAGAGATCCAAAAAATATCACATAGTATTTACCTTCAGTACCAAGAGCTGGAACACTTTAAGCTTCTGCACCACTTATTTTTTAAAATGAAAACTGAAAACACTGCATTATATGGAAGCCACCACTACTTACATAATCATGTTTATAAGCAATTGTTTTTTAACAATGAAAAATAGCTCTGTGAGTGCAAAGATTTGAATGTATTCAGATTAACAAACAAGACAAAGGGTCTTAAATGTGTCGCCAGCCCAATACCCCACCTGTAACCATGAGGGTCATCTGCACAACTGCACTGGGGATTATTAGGGTTTCCTGCTATTACTTACGTCATGTATGTGAAAAATGTGCTCAGGGGCTCCAGAGAATGATTCTGGAAATACTCAAATTCTCTGCATAGCTTTTTCTTCATCTCAGTGTCAATTTTGGAAACTGTGAGAGGATTTGTTTGATTAGCTAAGAAGTTGCCATAATCGGTGGTCTGGAGATGTATCTTCACATCTGAAATTAAATGAAACCCCAAATTAGGTTAAATTTTGGACATGCATGAATAGCCTTTACAACTTCAATTGAATTTACGCTAACTTTAGGATAGATGCACATTTAATTATTATTATTATCTTATTAGACCTTAATATGAAGTCTACATTTGAGTGGTAACCTGTAAAGCAATAATTAAAAAAAAAAAGTTAATACAGATATTCCAGTACAACAGAACAATATTTTAATGACCAAAAAAATCTAGTATTATCTAACATAACTGAAAAGAACATTAACAACCACCTAACCCAGAGGTGGAAAATAAATGTTACCTGAGCCAGTGTTAGGCATTTGGATATTTAGTTGCTTGGAAAACTGTTGAGAGGACACTAAGGCTCCATCCCAACTTGACAGAAAAGAGAAATATATTAGTGATGCTTGCCATGGGTCCAGGAACGGTAAGGGGAACGGGCAGCTTTTGTAATCCTTTTGTTACAGATTAAGAAGCTGAGTCTCAGTGGGGCTAAATGGTCGAGTTATAGAGCGGTGGAGCTTGAACTAGGAGATGGGTCACCTTACCCTTAAAATGCAACATCATTTCCACCAGACTATGGCAGGCATCCTTTCCATGGAAATGCTTTTGGTTGCAGATTACTGAACTGAATCCCATCTTCACTTATTGTTTCCTCCTGAACAAAGCGTGTTTTCCAACACTTTACTTTTCTTAGTGCTGACTCCATCCTACTCGCTAGAATTCCTGCCCAGCCCTTTTCAGATTTGCTTCAAAATTAAATTAATAGTTACCAGGGATTGAGTGCTTATTGTGTACCAGACTCATGGCAGTCCATGAGGTGGGATGATTTTTATCTTCTTTATAGAAGAGAATGCTGAGGTTCAGAGAGGTTAATAACTTGCTCAAAATCACACTGACTAATGGATTCAAAGACAGGTTTGTCTAACTCCAAAGCCACTTAACATCTGTATTTTTATTGCCGATCAATTAAATGAGATTATTAATTGTTCTGTAAAGATTTACTTGTCAGGCAGAATTACTCAACCTCAGTCATCTCCATTTCAAAGTACTTTGATAACGCTTCTAGCACAGCCCCTATCATAGGATGTACTGTAGTCTTGTTTATTGACTACAAAAAGGCAATTAATTACACTATCTGAGTTCCGTCTTTTCTTTGTGGCTCCTTGTGCAGTACCCAACACTTAAGTGTTATTTAAAATTTGAGTATCAAAAATGTCTTTGGCACCACTGAGCACATAATTAGAGCCACTATAGTATATTGGAGCTTACTGGATTTTTCATTCAAACATTTACTAAGCTTCTATTATGTGCTGTTAACTACAGGAGAGCCAAGGTGGACCAGACATATTCCCCATCCTAAAGGAAACTCAGTCTGGTGGGGAGGAGGTACCACAAACAGATGACTCAAACAACATGGTACCTTCAGTGACTAACGTAAGGACCTTGACTTAAGGGACCACAGAAAGTGAGAGCAAGGTCCATTGGGATGGAAGCCACAAAGCCAAGGATAGTTTCTGACAGAGGTCATGCCAGAAATGAGTCTTAAGGTTCTATGTAAGAGGGGTGGGAAGGCATTCCATGAATCAGTACAGATATGGTATGTGCAAGAAGCTCAAAGCAGCTCAGGGTTGCTGAACAGTAAGTGGGAGAGAAGAAATGAACCAGAAAAGTAAGCAGGGGTTGTGGCCAAGGAAGGCCTGGAATGACATCCTTTATCCTGATGACAGGGAGCCAATGAGGACTGTGAGCTGAGTGCTCTGGAGCTGGGGGGAGAGTGGATTTAACATCAAGTACTCAGGACGTTCTTTAGTATCTGAGATGCAGCAGACAGGCATTCTTCCACGGTAGGTGGAGTAGATTATGCAGCAGAAATGCTCTGTACCTGACTAACTATAGCATTTATTTGTTTAATTACCTATTTAATTAACCTAAATTTTAAAAACTATTTTTGCCATGTCTTCTTTGCCTTTCATTTTGGTAGTTCAGATTTTTATAAAATTGGACAGTTGGCATTCTCAGCACTGAAGAATATTTGCCAACATAAGGGGCACAAATGGTATTTATTTCAAAATTATGATATTTTACTCATGTGACATATGTTTCTTTTAAGCAAAATAACTTCCAAACCTTCCAGCTGCCAGTGAGATCCTGAAATTAAATGTCTCACGTTTCAGACCCTACAGGAATCTTGTAATACTAAAGTTGATGGAGAGAGGCAAATGAAATAGAAGGAACCTTTCTTTCCTCAGCACCAAAATTATTCAAGGAATACTTATATTCAGATGGTAAGAAAATCTTAGGATCTGCAATGTTTATTATGAGATGATGACAGCCTGCCAATAACAACAATGCTTAGAGTTTTAGAGTTTTCACAATGAGTTCACATCATAATTTTTTCTCTGCATTTCCCCAAGTGCTTATCTAAATATGTATGTGATGAATAGGACTTTGTGGTCAAATAAATTTGCAATAAACAAGTTTCTTAACTATAGGACTTGAAGGCCTTTAACACATTACTTTTTTTATTATGGTATCATTGATACACACACTTATGAAAGTTTCACATGAAAAACATTGTGGTTACTACATTCACCCATATTATCAAGTCCCCTCCATTGCAGTCACTGTCCAGCAGTGTAGTAAGATGCTACAGAGTCACTACTTGTCTTCTCTATGCTACACTGCTTTCCCTGTGACCTCCCCCCAACACCATCTTTTAACACATTAATTTGAGTATCTTTGAAAAGAGGGTGGTATACAACCTTCTAAGCCACTAGAAAACAATAGACCTACCCACGGAGAATTCTTTGGAAAATTACACTGCTTTTTTATCCAGTGAAGTAGTGTGGCAAGTGGAGCTTTTTTTCTTTTTTATTCAAATTAATAAACAGAATGTTTCCCAAACTCTGGGATCACTACCAATGAAATCAGTTTAATAGGTCGCAAACAGAAACCAAATAAAAGGGCTAGATTAGCCTATTACAACGAATGCTGGAGTATACCACAGAGTACACAGGCTGAAATGCAGAGATGCGCCTTCTGTGGCTGTGGTCCCCGGGTTCAGGGGATCACCTGAATCACTTGGCTAGTGAGGCAGGATGGTGGTCTGGGACCTGACAGTTATTCCCTATTAATTTATCAGGCAGATCAGTTTTAGAAAATGATTTTTTTTCCCCACTTTCTGTTTGAGCCTTGCATTAAAAGTGAATATCCAGACCTTCCACACACCACATAGATTTTGCCAAAGAAGCACTTTTAGACATACCTGAAGGGGGTGCTATCCTTGAGGAACCCCACTGCCTCTTCCCGACTCTCTGCTGGTGGGGAACTTTCGGAAGTTATCTTACCTTTCCTGGCTCAGTTTCTTCATCTACAAAATGGGTACAGTAGGATCTACGCTTTTGGGCTATTGTGGGGATTAAACAAAGTGATGTAGGTGAAGAGCCAGCAGGCAGAAGCTGCTACATAGTATTATTTCTTTCTTCTTCCACTTGTACCCACTCACTTTCAAAATAATTTGATTCAGCTGGCTAAGGACTTTAGTTTTTAGTCTCTAAATCAGAATTTCCTCAGCCATTAAATTGGGATCTTCCATCAGACCTTGTAATTACTCAGATTTTAATAACTACATCAGTATCGTTAAAGCCAGAACTTCCTCCATTTTTGCTAATTTACTGTCATTCTTATAGTAATGAAACTTCGAGTCCTCTCTGGTGCTTTATTACTCCAAGTCCCTTGCATCTTTCCTTAATATCCTCTCTGATTTCCACTCCTGCGCCCCTGGTGCAGAAGGGCCATCTGCCACCTCGGTCACTTTGGCAATCTCTTCACTGATTCTCTCAGCCTGCTTCTCCCCATGTACTCCCTGCCTCAAGTTTGTACTTTCCTTAGAATTATTTTGATCTTATACGATCCTATAAATAGCTTGAAGTCACTGAAAGTTTCAGGCAGATTAAAAACAACTTTCATAACATTTGTGTTTTACCATTGACAGGATGGTTTCAATGTACATTATCTCTGAACCTTAACAGTAATTCCTATTTCATAGATGAAACTGAGGCTCACAGAAATAACTTGTTCATGTTTTCCATGCTTGCAAGTGTTTGACCAGGGATTCAGACATGTCTCTTGTCCTCATTCAATATCTTGAAACTCCATAATCAGTTTTAAAAGATCCTTCAATTTTTTTCCTAGCCTAAATTCCAGCCTTATCTCCAGGTATTCTAGTATTGCTGCCAAACCGGTTTACTCCCCACCCATATGCTTTTATTTTTTCCTACCTGTATTTCCTTAGTTTCTCTGCTGGCCTAGAATGTCTACCCATCTCAATTCTGTCCACCCCGACTTCACTGGCATTTTCCAGCCTGTAGCCCTTCAAGACTTGGTTCACTTTTGAATATACATGCTGTTTATAGGTTTAAACTGTTCTTGTATTTTAAACTTTTGTTTTTGCTTCTTTATGAGAGCCTCTCAATAAGCCAGCTGCTTAGGGAGTGAATAGTATCTTGGTGTTTATGATATTCTCCACTTTACCTTATACAATTTTTATCACATAGATGACATTCAAATATTAGTAGATTTAATTTGTAACTAAATCCTGGGACCAATAGAGCACTTCATATGTAAGTCTGTCCATGTTCCCAAGGCTGAAATGCCTCATTTTGATTCTTATTTACTAGAAGAGTATTTTCAAAACAAGCAGGCACTATGAACAAGAATAGAAATCAGCTACATAGAATCATGTAGCGAACACCACTAACCATAACCACGAAAGGGGGATTAGTCATTTCAAGAATTCAAAAGTCTAGTTGAAGAGGGGAAACTACTTCTTGTTCTATACACACTTCAGTTCAGGGGTGCTTGTGATTTTCCAGGAATACCTATGATTTACAATTTACAAAACATCTTCAGAAATTTCTCATGCTCCTGGTAACTGGGAGGTAGGCCAGAGAGGTATTATCTAAATATCTGATAAGAAAGCACCATG